AGCATTTATTGTTTTGTGTTTTTTGGATTAATGCTAGCCTTGTTGGGGTGAGATGATATCTCATTGTAGTTTTGATCTGCATTTCTCTAATGGCTAAATGATCATGAGCATTGCTTCATGTGTCTGTTAGCCACCTGAATATCTTCTTTGGCAAAGTGCCTGTTCATATCCTTTGTCCATTTTTTAATTAGGTTATTTGTTTTTTTGTTGTTGAGGTTTTGTAGTATCTTATAGATTTCAGAGATTAGATGCTGATCGGATTTGTCGTAGCCAAAAATTTTTTCCATTCTGTAGGTTGTCTTTTTACTCTTTTGGTGAAGTCTTTTGATGAGCATAAGTGTTTGATTTTTAGGAGCTCTCATTTATCTGGTGTGTCTTCTGGTGCTTGTACATTATTACTTATAGTTCGTATAGTGTTTATGTCATGTATTACGGCTCCTAGCGTTGTCCCTATTTTTTCTTCCAGGATCTTTAACATTTTCAATTTCATATTTAAGTCTTTGATCCATCTTGAGTTAGTTTTTGTGCATGGTGTGAAGTATGGGTCCTATTTCAGTTTTTTGCTGATGGATATCCAGTTATGCCAGCATCGTTTGTTAAAGAGACTGTCTTTTCCCCAATTAACGAACTTTGGGCCTTTGTCAAATATCAGCTGCCCATAGGTGGATGAACTTATGTCTGGATTCTCAATTCTGTTCCATTGGTCTACGTATCTGTTGTTGTACCAGTATGAGGCTGTTTTGTCTACTGTGGTGGTATAATAGGTTCTAAAATCAGGTAGTGTGAGTGAGGCCCCCACTTTGTTCTTCTTCTTGAGTAATGCTTTACTTATTTCGAGTCTCTTCCCTTTCCATATGAAGTTGGTGATTTGTTTCTCCATCTCCTTAAAAAATGCCAGTAAAATTTGGATTGGATTACCTTGTTTATGTAGATCGCTTTGGGTAGAACTGACATTTTCACAATGTTGAGTCTACCTACCCATGAGCAAGGTATGTTTTTCCACTTATGCAGGTCTCTTTTGGTTTCTTGCAGTAGTGTCTTATAGTCTTCATTGTATAGATCTTTTACATCTCTGGTTAGATTTATTCCTAAGTATTTTATCTTCTTGGGGGCTATTGTAAATGGTATTGATTTCGTGATTTCCTCTTCGACGTTCTCTTTGTTGGTGTAAAGGAATCCAACTGATTTTTGTATGTTTATCTTGTACCCTGATACTTGTTGAAATCTTCTATTAGGTCCAGTAGTTTTCTTGTGGATTCTTTGGGGTTTTCTGTGCATAAGATCATATCATCTGCAAACAAAGATACTTTGACTCCTTCCCTACCAATCTGGATGCCCTTTATTTCTTTTTCTAGCCTAACTGCTCTGGATAGGACCTCCAACACAATGTTGAAGAAGAGTGGTGATAAAGGGCATCCTTGTTTGGTTCCCATTCTCAAGGGGAATGCTTTCAAAGCTAGTGGAATTGCTACAGTATATTGAGTGTTCCACCTAAGGGAAATGTAGTACAGTCCCTTCTCTGTAGGCAAGGATGGACCCACTTACCTGGCATGCACAGACATGTGAATCCTCCAATCTTATCCAAGCAGGTGGCATCATTCTGGCACGGGTCTGAATGGCACTCATTGATGTCCATCTCACAACGAGGCCCTGCATAGCCCTTCAGACATTCACAGTGGAAGGCGCCATCTGTATTCACACATTTTCCTGCATGCTCACATGGGTTGCTGTTGGCTAGAATACACAGGCACCAATTACTGGGATCAAAGCTCTTGATACAGTTTCAACAAATGTGGACTACAGAAGTGGGTCTGATGTTTATAGCACTAGGGCCAGTCCCTTAATGATCTAGTTCTTAACTTCCTATTTCCTTCTCTGATTTAAAAAAACAAAAATGAGACTAGGGCAATCTCATCTCATACATCTCTGCACTTCTTTTGACCAAACTGTCACTGAGGGAGTGCTTTATATTAAGAGTCAAGTACAGACCATTCATATATTTCAACTCCCAGAATGGAATATATGGTTATGCTGAAAAAGTTAGCTGTAAACAGTGGCATGTAACAGGACAGACCTGATGTTTGGGTTTAATATGGTCGTCTAGTAAAATGTGGGAGCCCTGGTGGTGCAGTGGTTAAAAGCTATGGCTGCTAACCAAAAGATCGGCAGTTCGAATCCACCAGCTACTCCTTGGAAACCCTATGGCGCAGTTCTACTCTGTCGTATAGGGTTGCTATGAGTTGGAATTGACTCGATGGCAACAGGTACAGTAAAATGTGCTTACGTTTAAATGATTGCTAACCTCAACACATATCACAATGAGTAGGAAAAGGGTCTGTATACTCACCCATGGCACACTCATCCACATCTTCTGTACAGTCAGCGCCTTTGTAGCCTTGTGGGCAGGTGCAAATATACTGCCCGTTCAAGGGGTTGGTATCACACAGAGCCCCCTTGTGGCAAGGATTGCTGATGCATGCATCATCCAGATGACACAAGAGACCTGTTGCAGGTTAGGGCAAAGAAGAGAAAATGTCCCTCACTTTGAAAAGAGTTTTCTCTTTCACAGAGAAGGAAAAAAATCTCATGATCAGCTGACCAAAATACAACACAGAGATTCAGATGCAACTTCTCCTTTGCCTGACCCTACCTTAGGGGAGTCTGCAACCATCAGCAAAGCAACCAGTTGCTGCAGACTACCCTAGTGCCCTGCCCTTGATCTCTGTTAGACCTCTGTGCACAGGAAGAGACACCTACAGGCTAGAAAATGAGAATGAGGAGACAGGAAACTGGAGGTATTCTCCTGATACGGTTGCCAGATTTAGAAAATAAAAACAGAGGATGTCTATTTCAGTTTGAATTTCAGATAAACAACAAATTCTTTTTAGCGTAAGTGTATCACAAATGTTGCAGACATCCTGTATTTTTTTTTCTGGCAACCCTATTTCTCCAAAATCATGCTGCCTGATGGAGGTGAGACACTGGAATCACCTCAGATGCTGCTTCCCTTCTTTCTCCCAAGCTTTGAGAAATCCATTTTTGCTCTGGCTTGCAGACTTTTCTTGTGTGTAGAGTATGCTCTCAAGGGCCCTTTTCTTGTTATTGCTATTGTTGGGGTAAAACTCAGGAACATAGTTTCTTTTCTATAAATATTAGTTGAATGTATTAATGAATGGGAAGAAAGAAGGTGGCCATCAAACACTCTTCTAGGCCAATAGAGTGCAGGCAAAAGTAGTTGTCCACACAGTTCAGCCTCACTTACAAAGATGAGTATTTGTATAAAGCCCCTTCTCATACTTGTTTTCTTTATTCACTAAGCTCTGTCTCTTATTCACAAAACTATTTCAGGCATGTTGAAGAGACCAGAACTTCAGCGTTTAAGAGCCATCTAATTACAAATCATCTCTCAACCCTTTGACGTTACTTTTAAATTGTTTGGAGATTCTGATACCAAATCATGAATGATCACTTAAAAAAAATGAAAACAGGTAAAAAGATTAAGATGCTATAATTCTACTTTTCTCCTGGCCCCAATGCACAATACTGAGTCAAGAAATTTGAAAAGAATTTTTAATACACTGCTTTTAATACATTTTAAAAATTACTTTTCAAGTTTCTTTTGTTTCCTTTTTCATGGGTTATCCAACTTCCGAATTCATTTAAGAGAAAAATACGAAAATACATAGGACAAAAGTATCATTCAGCTGTGATCAGGTTGGGAGTTTGACATTTGATTCCTTATACCGCCTTTTTTATAAACTGGAAATTGGAAAGACAATTTAAATAAAGCTGGTTTCAGTGCAGAAAAAAAAAAAATCATGCTGCCTGATGAGTCCAGGGCCATCAGCATTTCACCATTCTCAAAAGAAAAAAGCAGCTGAACATTGTCAGACATTCCGAAAGCAGCCTTTTTATAGTATCAACATTCCTGGCTCTGGTGCCCTCAGGACTCTGAAGACATTACCAGGCCCCATGTTCTGCCTAGTTCACAAGGGAACTGGATTTTCCAGTCTGCAATTAGCTTAAGAACAGGTAACTAATGCTTCTTCCACAAAGCTGGAGGTGCGGCTTTTGGAAAGACATAGGTGTAAGAACATTTCAAAACTTCTGGACAGAACGTTCCCTCAACTTAAGCTATATTCTTCTATCACATTCCTCCCTTCATTGCTTTCCTACTCCTGGAACTAGAAGCTGTTAGACTGACAGAGGCTGGAGTGATGTTAATGTTAACTTTGTAGTCTGTAAAAATCCTCCCTTACAGGAATTTTTCCATAGACATTGAGGGCTGGAATGCACTTAGATACTTCTCTCCTGCCAACTCCTTCTGAGAAAATGGATTATTTCTTTTTTAAATTGAAGTACCTGAATCCAGTTATTAGTCGTCTTAATTTCTGAGGTGCTTTTCAGCCTGAGCACTCAAGGAGGTCAACAGATACCTCCAAAGACCATAGTTACTTTCTTTTTTTGGAATGAAAAACTGAGGTACATAGAGTTGGAAAGTCCTAAGGAAGAAGACTAACTCATAGCACTTTGGCTGGCAGATTACATTTCCAGAGGAACAGTCTTGAGTGACGTATTCCTAAAGACGGTAATTCAAAGAACACTGATATTAGGATGAAAGAGAAGAAGTCCTGAACACTCTCCCACCCTTCCCCTGATCCCCAACTCTGTCCTTCTGCTGTCCTTACCTGCCTTTCCTTCTGGGCACATGCAAGAGAAGGAGGCCACACGGTCAATGCAGGTGGAGCCTGGAGTGCAGGAGGCGAAGGCACAGTCATCGATGTTCTCGCTGCAGTCATCTCCACTCCAGCCATTAACACACACGCACCCGTAGCCTCCATTGCGGTTGGTACAGGTGCCCCCATTCTGACAGGCATTGGGTTGTAGAAGACACTCATCTACATCTTCAGTGCAGAATTGTCCTTTTGGGGGGAAATGCCTGATTAGGGTTCTTAAGTCTCAAAGGATTAGGACCACATCAGCCCCTACACACTCTTCGCCATCATGTGACTTGCCTTAAACTGAGGCACAGTAGAGCTCACAGCAGACCAGGACATTGTGGAATTTTAAGGCGGCCTTGAGCCATCCAAATGATATTTATTCCAGGCTAGTAATTTACAGAAGAATACAAGTTGCCACCATGAGAAACTGACAACATGAGAATTTAGACAACATATCAAAGAGAATATAAAACCTGTAGGAACCTTGACACAGTTAAACGCCTGGGGCAATGAATATATGAATGAGAAGAGCAACGAGAAAAGAGTGTAAGAGACGGATAAGGAAAAGAATAATGAGAAGGAATCTATGTGTCAAAATGTCACAGCAACTGTTCTTTCTGTACCTTGACTGTATCAATGGTTGTAATATTGTAGGATAGTTGTGCAAGATGTCACCATTGGGGGAAACTGGAAAAAGGGCATGCAGGGCCTCTCTGTGTTATTTCTTACATCTCCATGTGCATCTATAATTATCTCAAAATAAAAGGTTTAATAAAGAAAAATGTTACGGCAAACAAGGATAGAGAGAAGAGATTAAGGACAATGAAAAATTCTGGTAAAACATGGATGTAAAAGGCAAAGCCAAGAACCATGAGAGTGGAGCAATCTTCAAGGATGTGCATTTGTGGAACAAGACACAGAAAGCCCACCCAATATAACAGGAGAAGTGGAAAGGATAGGTTTGCTCTACCTGAAAAGGAGAAAACTGAAGGACGATAAACATGAGACCACCCATGGATATGCTTCAGGTCACTGCTATAGCAGAGGATGGAGAACTAAGGAAAAGGTTTGGATCTCCTGACAAGGAACAAGAGTAGGACTTCAACCAAGGAATTTTTTATTAACAAGAAGTTTAGTGTCAAACCACCTGAGCTGTAAAACAAGTCGATGAATTGGCCTCATTGGAAGCCTTTGAAAAACCAGTTTAGAGAGCTATCAAAGGGAACTACAATTCAGATAATCTGAATTCTCTAAAACTTGACAAGGTGCTAAAACTCCAAAACTTCAGGGTGTCCTTCATTCTTCCTCCTTAAAAATAACTCAACGAATAATTCAAAAAGGCATTCTGATGAAGAGTCCTCTTAATGAAAAAACACATGATGTTTCTCCTTAGAAAATGCCAAGGCTCTCTCTAGTCCCCAGAATAACTAACAACAATTCAGCTGGCTCAGGTAGTTGTGGAAGGTCTACAGTGTGCCTGGCTATGTAGCCATCATTGCTGGCAGAAGCTAGTTGTGTTTGATTTAACCCAAGTGACCATGTTTACTGTACTCCTAACCTGTATATACAGGATTACGGAACCGGCGACACTCTACTGCACTTCTTTGCTTGCACATCCATCTCCTATCACTTGGCTGCAAGCAACCTCTGTTCAGGGATTTTCTTTGTATTTCCAGCCAAGAGCTCACAGCCTAAGATGGCTGGATGGGTGTGTGGGCATCTCTGGAACTCTCTGCCCAGCAACCCTTTTCTGTGCTCTTCCCTCACTCCATTTCATTCATATAATCCCTGAAAGAATCACCATGTTTTTACATGATCTCGTCCTCCTGGTTCCAACTGACTGAACCCAAATGAGCATCTGATCCAAGCTGCATCACTATGTCTCTTTCTCAAATTTTTAGACTAGGCACTCATTTTAGACTAGTGACTTTGGTCAGCCTGCATAGAAAGTGACAAGGATAAATCAGATGTACAAAGTAGAGAAAAATAGAGCCCTGGTGGCATTCAAGTTTCTGGTTCTAGTTGTTCCTGAAGCCCAACTGCTCCTGAGCCCATTCAGTGGCTCAGCCATTCTGAGAGATGTCCTTGGCAATAGGTTTCTCTTTTTAGTTATGCTAATTTGTGTTGGGTTTCTGTCAGTTACAGTCAAGAATATTAACTAATATAGAGTGAATGAGTAAGCGAGCGAGAGAGTGAGTGAGTGAGTTGGTGACTAAATGGAGTCTCAGAAGCAGACACTTGGGCAATCATCTCCCCCAGGGCAGATGATATCACTTATTATCGAAAACTTTGCTCCCTTACTGTGCTAGCTGAAATGCTGCCTCAGAATAAAAACAGCTGTGTCATTAGGATGCAGGTGGGATTTAGAAATGAAAACATGACCAAGAAATAGGTGAAGAGTTCCTGTAACATGGAAAATTGCTGAGATTCTTGTCTCTTGGATGTACGCTAAAGAATCTATGCTGTCCCCAAAACAAACTGACTTTCTGAACATGAGTAATTAGATGCCATTTTTCTTTTTGACTGGCTCTGTGATAATTCTGAGTATAAGACATCGTGTGCTTAAAAATATTTTGTATGCCTTTCTTATAATACCTAGACACTTATATATTGTAGTAAGACACAGTAAGTAATAAACCAATCCTTGGAATGGAAATTGGCATTTTTAGGAAAAGGAAACTAATAGTTACCGATTGTCTACTATGAACCAGGTATTGGGGCTATCACAAAAATGATCTCATTTACAGTTGAGGAAACAGGCTCAGAGAGGTAAAACAACTTGTCCACTGTAAGGCAGTGAGTGCAGAAGAGCTGGGACTTGAACACTGGAGCTGCCTGACTCTAAAATTCTTAACAAAGACTTGCGAGGTGAATCTGACCATCACACCATCTCTGTATGTCTGTTTTCCCAAGTGCACAGAAGCATGGGAAGTGGACAGGGTGAGAAGGCGAAGATGAAAATCACAACTCACATGATCAGATTACTGGGAAAACTCATGACTGCAACCTACTATCCAAAAATAAAGTGTACTTTTGGGTACAGTTCACAATTTTTTGAACAAGACTGATTTTTGAAGGTTAGATACCTTCACTGAATACCTTAGGACCCTGTATCTGTTAGACACTGTTCGTTAGAGACATGAAATCCAGTGAGTCAAGACATGACTGGCTTATAAGTAATTTTCTACAGGATGGATAATCCTTCTCTGAGTTCAATACATTTCTCCTGAACATCATTCCTCCTAGCCTCATTTCTGTCAGATTTTTTTTTTTTTCCTTCCTAATTCCACTTCTATCAACCAGTTCTTAAATTCAGAATGTAGAAAGTAGTAACCAGGACGGCCACAATTGCTTATTCCAAAATTCCCAATGCAATGTCTGCTAAGATACTGCACTTCCTTCATGTCACCACCCTCTTGGCACAGGAGGAAACAAATGCAGGAGCCTAAAAAAAAGAAACCTAAGGCTTAGAAAGGTTAAACAGCTTTCCCAAGGTCATAAAGCTAGTAAGTGAGAATGCTGTCATTCAAACCCAGTCAATCTGACTCCGACTCGAATGCTCCTTCCACAGCAGCACAGTAAAGTACCCAGTCCTGGATGTGATACACAAGAACTATAGACTATGTCCCTGATCTTAGGGTCTTAAGACAATTTAAGAACATGTGTGGTAGAATGCAATAAAAGCAGAAGGTCACTAGATATTAGGATAGGAAAAGTTCTAGTGACTATTCATAGTGGTCAGGTGTATTGTCTAGGGTCATCTGGCTTTTCCTAGTACTCCATGCCAAGAAAGCACCACCATGGGCTGGAAGGAGAAGGCTTACTGAGGGACATAAGGTTAGGTCTTGAAGATAATGGAATAAATGGGATGCATTCTTGGCATTGAGGCTTAAAAGGAGAAAAGGCTGGAGGTTGTTTGAAGCTTTGAATTCGAATATGAATTCGGAACTTGACACAAAAAGCAAAGGAGAGTGATTGTAGGTTCATGAGTGGGGTAAGACATGATCAAAGCTGTGTTTGAAGATTAGTCTGCCAATATCATACAGGAGGGACTAGAAGTAAACGTTAGTAGGAAGAGGAACAGACAGAGCTAAGTTATGGGCTACCTAGCATATAAAAGCCTTCTGGTAAAAAGGTAGAGCTGTGTTGTTTCCACACCCCACCAAGCTACCAACTCTTCTGTTTGAACAAGTCTCAGTATGCATCATCATCTTTGTCAACACACAAGCTGTGCTGGTGAACTTCCAAAATATGTTGCACAAAGCTCAGCTGGGCAAGTTTTTGAGGGCATCAATTATTCCTCTTAGTAATTTCCACCTGCCAGAGACTGTAGGCTACTGCCATTTAACACCTGGTCTAAGGCAGTGGGCTATTTAGGCCCTTGCCATTTCCTATACACAAAAAGAGAAAGGAAATAACTTGTTTTTAAAAACTATCTTCTTTATTGCCATTATGAGTCTGGACTAACCTGGTATGAAATGCCACACTACCAAATCCTTGGCTGATCGACACCTTAAACACTGAGAGTCACCCGTAGCTGCTGACAGTCTTCTGGCCAATCATTTCTGCCTTTTAAATATATCTCACGTCCATCTATTTCTTTCCATTTCCCCTGCCACCAAATTTGTCTAGGCAATCGAGATCTCTCCCTTAACTACTGCAATAGCCACATTATTGGATGTCCCACTTCCACCCTCTCCCCTCTTCAATCTATTATCTACACAGTAGCCAGAGAAATATGTTCAAGGTATAAATCAGATAATATTGTTCCCTGCTTAAAATCTTCCAATTCCTTCTCATTCCACTTCAAATAAAGTTCCAACTACTTTCCATAACTTATAGTATCCTGCATGAACTCCTTTATCGCCAATCTTACGTAGCTCCACTCCTCCTTCAGGCATTTTGTTTCAGCCACAATGGTTTCTGGTGGTTCCTCAAACCTTCTTTCCTACCTCAGTACCTCTGCATATGCTGTTCTCTCTACCTGGAACATTCTTTCCCCTCTTACTCATATGGCTAGTTACTTCTCACCCTTCAGACCTCCCTTATAATCTAAGTAGATCTCCAAATACACCTTCCCCATTATTCTCCATCACTGCATCTATTCCACTCAATCCCATCCTGGCATTTATCATAAAATGTCATTTTAAATGTATTTGTTTACTCCTGATACTCTGTGTCCCTGTTAGGCTCTAAACTCC